AATGAATCAGTCAACATCAGCTGACCAGATCTCCTCATCACGTAGGAGCAACGTCAACATTAGATAACCAGCCGTCCTCATTACGTAGGAACTATGTTATCACTATAAAATGGCCAAGAACTCTTCATCACGTAGGAGCAGTGTCATCCCTTGACTAGATATCCTCATCACGTAGGAGTCGTGTCACCCTTAGATAACAAGCCGTCCTCATCGCGTAGGAACCGAGTTATCACCCTTCCTAAAGATGGCCAAGAACTCTTCATCACGCATGAGTCGTGTCATCCTTCGACCAGATTTCCTCATCACGTATGAACCGTGTCACCCTTAGACGACCCGAACTCTTCATCACGTATGAGCAGTGTCGTCCCCAACAACCAACATTATTCAATTTCTAAGTTTGAAAGGGAGAACCAGACAAAAACGTGTTGGCTTGTCATCTTTGCACTGTTCTTGTTAACACAAGTATGTGCAAAGAGGGGCAGCTGTAGACACCCGTTTTTGTCCGGGTCTTTTATATTTATTTTTTTTAATTATTTTTATTATTAATTATTATTAACTATTATTATTAATTTTACATATTACATTTTTGCAGGCTTAGAAGCCCAATTCAGATTACAAAGGCCCAATCCCGGAGCCCAACAACCCAGATCTGCGGCCCAGCAATCGGCCCAAACCCGCTAGGGTTACCCCTTCTCTGCCTCAGCGCCGCACCATCAAGACCGTTTGATCTGGACCCATCCAATGGTCCAGATCAAAGGCCATTTAGGTATGAAACCCTAACCCTTGTTCTGAGCCCTAACAGCTCAGCCACCGCCACAGCCGTTTGGCCTTCCATCTCCCAGCCGTGCTTGAGGTGTCGATGGTGAATCCCGAGCCGGTCGTCATCAGCAATCTGGTCACACAGTGAAGCAAATGTCATCAACAGTGTATCAAACTTACCCCAAATCTAAAAACCCATTAAAAATAACACCCCAAAATCCCGAAAAATCTGGACTTTATCCACCCAAATCAGAGAAATCAAATCCTATCTACCTAGATATCATCATCATATCACCAAATACTCAACATAAATCAAGGGAACGAAACCAGAAGAGAGGAGAAAAAAAAACAAAAAAGAAAAAAGACAGAGAGAGATTCGAAACAAAAAAACAACAAAAAAAAGGAGAGGCATCTTACCTTTAGAGAGAGATCCGAGCGTTGTATCCTCGCCGGAGTGAAAAGAAGCCACTACCGAAGGTAAAACAACCTCTCTTTTCCTAGATCTAGTTTTTCTTAGGGGTGGGTTTTCGTTTGTTTTTTGGTTGGTTAAGGTCTGGGAGAGGAAGTAGAGTGGTTAAGGTTGTGGTGCTCCCCGTGGCCACCGACTTACGGTGGCCGGGGAGCCGCGTTGTTCTCGTGAGGAGAAACGAGGAAGAAGGGAAAGGGAGAGAAGAACGAGTGAGGCGGCTGAGGGAGTTGGGAATGAAAATCAGGTTTTTTCAAAACCCTTAAGATGGTATAATCACCGAGTGAAACGGCATCGTTTAAGGGGCTTGGGGGGTCTGCGTGTTTTTACATTTAGGGTTAATCACAGTTTAGGTCCCTCAAGCTTTTGTAAGGGTTGTGATCTGGTCACTAAATGAAATCCATGCAATCTTATTTCGAGCCTATAGTTTTATTTTGTTTTATTTGAATCACTAGTTTATATATTATGTATGTTTTATGATCTTCGAATTTGGACCTGTGATTTATGTTTTTTTTCATTTTAGTCACTGTGCTGGTGTGTTATTTATTTTTGTTAATGTTTTAAATTTGTCCATGATATTTATGTACATTTTATTCTAGTCACTAATTAGCCTATGGTTTAATTACATTGTAAGGGTCCCCGTGTTTTGTAAGTTGTTTAAGGGCTTAGTGTATTTTATTTATTCTGTACTTCAAGCCCTATATTTTTAAAGTTTACACATTGGTCACTGGACTGGTTATTGTTAATATTTTTGAAAGTTTAGACATTGTACTCTTTATTTATGAAACTTTTATCTTGATCACTACTCTCATATTTTGGGTTAAATATCGATTAATGTCTGTTTATTTTACTTTCATTATATTTTAGTCCTTATCTGGTTTATTATTACATTTTTATTAGAGTTCGAATTTGGCCATATTATTTTATGCATGTTTCGTTTTAGTCCCTGTTTAACATTTGGCTTAATTGTGGTTTAGTTCTTTATGTTTTTTTCATTTCATTTTGGTCCCTAATATGATTTATGGTTTATTTATTTTTACTGTTTTTTTAAAAATATTTGTTAATTATATTTTAGCCCCTTAAATGTTTTAATATTTATTTTGGTCTGTAATATTTACTAATTTGTATTTTAGTCATTTATGTATGGATGTGCATTTTACTCATTAGTTAATTATTGGTATTGTGTTTACTTTAATTTAATGTAAATCTTTGTATTTCCAATCACATTTATTTTCATTATATTTTATCTATGTAAGAAATATTCGATTATATTTTCAAGAACACGTATGCGTAGAATGGGCGTGGAAAGTACCACTTGGTCGAAGTGGTACGATCCGATACGGCATTTTAACGACATAGGGACTTGTAACAAGTCGAGTATATTTTACTAATTAATTTATTAAAATGATGTAATGTGTGGTACCTTAAGTGACGCTCACTTTATTTTATGTGAATGTAAATTTTAAAGTTTCATTTTATCGATACACGTTTTTAAATAAATGATGAGAGAATATTCTTTAAAAGATAAGAAATAGACGAGTTAACTTTCCCGACGGAGGATTGTTAATCTCGAGATTTCTTTTCAAATTAAAGAATTTTCTCTGATAAAATAATTCGAAGTAAATTAATTAAATCTCAATAAACGAATCATATTTTAGTTTTATATTCAATTTGTAATTTCCACCATTTACGACGATGTGTAAGCTACACAGTACCAATTTTGGGCGTTGTGGGGGTGTTTACCCTTCCCCACACGTAACCGACTCCCGAACCTGTTTTAAATGAATCTTTGGTAACGTAGACCAAATTTTTGTCTTATAAAATTATTTTTCTTAAAATTGTTTTTAAAAGACGTTTTTAGGTATTTGACCTACCTAACCCAAAGGTCGATGGCGACTCTTTTCAATTTTATTCAAATCCATTCAAAATCACCAAATTTTCCAAATTAAAGTCATAATTGTTTTTAAAAATAATATTTAATTGTTTTAAAAAAATGGTTATGACATTGGATTTAACTCCCGTAGATCATATGAGTTTGTTAGATGTTTTATCGATGTGATATAATTAATTCGAAGACTGTGATGCTTTGAGTACGGGGGACATGGATTCTTTAAAAACTCTGGTCACAAAGGAATTTGTCCGAATGTCTCAAGAAAAGAGCTGATAGTTTCTGGAGGGGTAACCAAAGGTATTACAAACCCCAAATTCAAAAGTACACGATTCATGTTACCTCAGTTTTCACAATTACACTCAATTTCTCGAACAACTCATCTCCCCTAACTAGCTTGCTGTAAAACTACCCGTAGCTATATCCCAAGTAATAAGTATACGGGGAAATGAGTATTTTGCAATACATACAACAGGGTTTCAAATCACGGTCACGATCGTTTTTCGGTCATTTCGGGTTTACCGTGATTGTGGTCGTCGCAGGCGCTATTGCAGTCGTCGCGGGTAACTCGGACGGCGGCGAAACCGCTATATCTCGGACGAAATCGCGGTCGCGAAACGTTTTTTGAAACCCTGACATACAACTATTGAGCAAGTGATCCCAGGGATTCAAAAAACGGCCGTGTAACGGTATAACGACCGTTATATCGCAGTATCGGCGGCCTCCGTTACCGATATCAGCCGAAAATACGGTGTGAAACAGAATCACACCCATAACGACCGATAACGGCCGCAATTTAACGGGTAATGATCGATTGCGGATATAACAGACCGTTTTTCCCGTTACAACATCAAACATCATCAACAACACAATTACTTCAAAAGAATCAATGTACTTTCTAACAAAAAAAAGTAAAAAATGAAATAATATATTCTCTGTAAAACCTGTAAAAATCAGTTTACTTTACATCAAAATTGAAAAAAAAAAGTATTCACAAATTCACAATTTTAGAATCAGTACAAAATATAAAAAGAAAAAAGCAACCCCAAATTGAAATCTGAATTATTTTGCTTGCAACTTCAAAAATCCTCTCCAATTTCACTGCCCCAAAGCTCAAAATCAAAGAAAATCAGAAGAAAAAAAAAAGCTTTCACTTTGAAGAAAATCTTACAATTTCAAGTAAGTAAAATACCTCATTGTTTTAAGTTCTTCCTTCTTGCTTCTTGTAATTGATATTTTTGGTAGAAATAATAAGAAAAATTTAAGAAAAATAACAAACAAAAGAAAAGGGATGCATTTGAAAAAGAAGAATAATAAATCTTTACCGCTTCTACGTTTTGCCTTAAGCCCTCTATTTTCAAGTTAGAAGAAGGATATACTTTTTTTATGTTTTATCTTTACCCGTTCCTTAGGCTAGGGATTTAAAGATTTTTTTATGTTTTATTTCTTATTATTATTATTATTATTTTACTTTTAATATTTAAGTTTTAGGTTTGAAGTTTGGATTCAAAAGAACCATATAAATTTAAATAGAATAGAATATTTGCGTTATTATTATGACCTTATGAATTTATCACATAAAATTAAATAAATTGTGTTTATGTATACTCACCGTTTTTCCCATTAATTCCTGTTACAACATCAAATATCATCAACACAACAAAAATAAATGTTACCAACGAAGGTTGGCCTGAGTGGAAGGGGCTATAAATGTTACCTCGGAGGATTAATTTTAGGCAAAGCTTAGGGATACTTTTGGATATACAAAAAAAAAAGTCTATAAATGTTAGAAAATACTCTAAAAATCATTAAAATTGATTTTCTATAATTATAATTACTATATTTTATAATAAGTTGTGCGAATTTAAAAAAAATTAACGTCCGCGATACCTGTAGTGACCACGATAACATCCGTTATGTCCGCGACCGCAATAAACGTAACACGACCGAAAACGCGATCGCGACCGCAATTTGAATCCCACATATCCAATGAGCCTCAATTCACTTCTGCTCTCTAAAATATATAGTTCCTTGGTTAAATATACTGTGCAATGGAAACGCTGAAAATTCAAATGAAACACAGAGGAAATAACTGGCCATATAGTTTTACTTACCTTAAAAGTCCCATTAAACTTGGAATTTCTTGACCACTCCAAAGCCAAATCGCTGTTCCAAGTCTGATACGTTGCCTTGAAAACGTCGTAGTATACTCACCTCGAAACCGCAAAATCCCAGATGTTCTTCCCCCAATCATAACACTGCTCGAAAGTGATAACCTCATCGCGCAAGTAGCTGTACTTAAGCTTACAGTTCCCCGTACCAAGCGTGTAATTACCAGACACCTTGTTAGCAGAGTCGAGCATAAGCGCCCCATCGAAAACCGTCCGGTTATCCCCTCTGCTGTGAATGTAAGTAAGCTTCAAGGGCAACTTCGCAACCCTAACAGTGTTCATAAACTGAAATCGAGAAATCCTATAATAAAAAAGTGAAGTAATTAGCAAGTCAATGATTCACTGACGGTATAGTAAAAGGAAAGCTGATATTAGAGTTAAGAGTGCCTTTTTGGGGACGCCATAGTCGATGGTAAAAGATCCGGGCTTTTCGACGGCTAAAGTCAAGCCGTCCAAGCTGTGACCGTCGACGACGGTGGCGTCAGTAACGGAGGCGCGTAGCTTGACATCGCCGGCGTTGAAGGAAAAACAGAGGAGGTAGTGTTCTTCTCATTCCTCTTCCTTTCAAAGAAGCCTTCATTTCTCTCTGAAGAAGGAAGGTAACAAGGAACTGAGGCACTGGGGGAGAAATTGGTGAAGAAGTCGAGGGCTTTTCCCCTTTTTCTTTCTTTATTTTGGTTTTGTAATTTCGAGGCTTCACGGCACCGGTCTTAGATGGAATTTCCGATTCCAGAGAAAAGAGCCGAAAGCCCGTTAGTGGTAACTTTCTTGGTGTTTTGCGTTGGAATTTTAAATTTAACTTGATGGTATTTGAAGTTTTCAATTTTTCTTAGAAAAACAAACGTGACTTTAAATTCTTTTTATATTTGATTTATTCCTTAAATTAAGAAAAAAATTAATCATTTGGTAAACAAAAATAAGCATTAATAATTATGATATTGATCTAGTAGTTCACGATGTTAGCTTACGGTAGATTTAAAAAATTCATAGATCACGTTAAAATTTTAAATTTTAGGTTTAATTCATATTATCTAAGATTATCTTTAAAATTGTAATTTTAAAAATGAATCATTATTTGAGAACATTCATAATGTGTTTGTGCTCCTTTACACTACTTTATTATGTTGAGGAGTGTCTGGATTAGGATTCTAAATGAGACGAGACATATTGTGGGTTTCTCAAGATCAATTTAGTTAAAGCTCAATAAACACTCGGCTCGAGCTCGACTCAAGTTCTTAACGAGTCGAAACGAGTTAATTGATACTCGACTCGAAAAGCTTGAGAGCAAATAAAAAATATAACATATTAAGATTTTGTTTTACAAGAAAAATTAATTATTAATATTAATATTTTTGTGCTTTTTTAAAAAAAAGTACAACATAATGTTTTAATGTATATAAGGTTTAAGTTCGAGTATGAGCATCAATCGAGATTTTTTCTTTTCATTTTGAGCTTTTACAAGCTTCAATTTATGGTTTTAAGTGCAAGTCGAGCTTGAAAATTTTAGACTTACGAGTTTTCGAATTAAATCGATTTCTATTTTAAAATTTTCGAGATAAATAGAACATAACAATACTCGAATGTGACTTAACTCATTTACAGTCCTAATGTCAACAAGCCACTTTATGTGCAACTCTAAACTGAGTCATAGTATTATCGAGAAATTGAAACTTATCACCACCATCAGATTGAACAACTAGTGTGATAGATTAAAATTGAGTCTTGACTAATGAAAAGACCAATGCAAGTACAATGGAAACTTCAGATTTATTTGGAGTAATCATGAATCATGATGTACATATCTAAAAATAAAATATAGTATTGATACCAATTCAATAATACAGATGCAATACCTCACACATCAACCTCTACCAATGCAAAAGGGCTTACTACATAGATGAAGGTCTTAAATGGTAAAACATGACTGACTCTTAACCATCTAACTAGTATTACAAATATTGTACTTATCTACGAAAACACTTTTATTTAAAATATGAAACTAAAAAATAGGCCCTTATGGAACGAAGTTTATTCTATTGCTTTAAACAATTAATTTATTATCAAATTAATAAATCTTAAAAATGATTAAATTAGGATCTTAAATTATAAAAGTAAAAATGTTAGGTTGGAAAAAATAGGGGTCTCAATTATAAAGGTAAAAAGTGAGATTAAAAAATGAGAGGCTTCAATTATAAAAGTAGAAAGTGAGATTGAAAAAATTAGGGACTTCAATTATAAAGGTAAAAAGTGAGATTGAAAAAAATTAAGAGCCTCAATTATAAATGTAAAAAGTTAGCTTAAAAATTAAAGGCTTCAAATATAAAGGTAAAAGGCGGGATTGAAAAAAAAATAAGGCCTCGATTATAAAAGTAAAAAAGAAATATAAAAAAATTATGGGCTTTAATTATAAAGGTAAAAGTGAGATTGAAAAAAATTAGGGGTCTAAGTTATAAAGGTAAAAAGTAGGATTTAAAAAATTAGGAGCCTCAGTTATAAATGTAAAAAGTAATATTAAAAAAATTAGGGGCTTCAATTATAAAGCCATAAAGTGAGATTGAAAAAATTAGAGGCCTCCATTATAAAGATAAAAAGTAAGCTTAAAGAAAATAATAGCTTCAATAATAAAACTAGAAAGTGAGATTGAAAATATTGGGGGACTCATTTGTAAATGTAAAAGTGAGATAAAAAAATTAGGGGCCTAAATCATAAAAGGTAAAAACTGGGATTACAAAATTAGAGCTCTCAATTATAAAGAAGAAAAATAAAATTAAAAATTAAGGACATCAATTATAAAAATAAAATGAAAGACTGAAAAATTAGATATGTAAAACCCCGAAAATCGAGTTAGTAGTTTCGAGTATTATTGTTGGGCTTCGAGTACTTGGGTAAAACTATTTAAAAATCGTGTCAAGGAAGAAAGATTTGGGCTTGTAGGAAGCCCAGAAAATGTTAAAAATTGCATTTTTTATTTGTGCATAAAAGATGAGGGACAAAGGGGTAATTTAACCCTTGTTTGAAAATAAAGTTGATTGGCATTAAAAATTGATGATGTAAACAGGGGAAAAGGCTGAAAAAATATCATTCTCTTTTCCTTTACCCTTTTCATCTTCCTTACCTCTTCTCTTCTCCATCTTTTTCTTCTTCATCTCTTGCAAGCTCTAAAGGTGGAAGCTTTAGTGTCTTGCAGAGCTAGTTTTAGATTTTGGAGGTAAGAATAATAATCTTCATCATTAGAGCTTCTTTTCTATCCCAAAATCTTGAAGTTTTGCTATGGTAGAAAAATATGGGTTTTGGTGAGGTTTTAGCTCTAGGACTTAGAAATGATTCTGAGTTGTTCCTAAGTATTTAGAAACATGTTTCCAAACACTTAAAGGATTAAAACGAGATTGTAATCCCTTTGTTTGATTTGTTTAGTGAAAAAGCTTAGTGAGTTCTCAAAAGGCTAGAGCAAGGAACAATTGGTGCTTTGGTGGCCCTTGTAGCCTCCTTTCATTAACTATAGCTAAGGTAACACATAAATAACCCCACTATACCACATATAGGTCATAAACATTTGTTTGCTTGCTTGTTGGGTTTACATGTCTTTAGATGAGTTTTAATGGTAGCATATATATTTGATGTTTTGTTGTGTTTAAATGACTCATTATGATGTTACTAAACCTCGTAAGACTTAATAAATGTTGGGTAACCTTAAGGGGGACTTTAAGAAACCATATTTATGTTTGAACAAAGCATGTTCGAGTAGGGGTATCGATACTCGATGAATAATATCGATACACCACTTTTGAATAGGGTAAAAAGGAAGTAAAATGTGAAGGGGTATAGATACTGAAGGGCGAGTATCGATATCGGAGACACTTTGAGGATTTCATAATACAATTTTGGTAGTGATACTCAGGGGAGATTCGATACCATATGGAGAGTATCGATACTCTGAGAATAAAATTTGAGCATTGAAGGTAAAATTTGTATCGATACTAAGGCCAATATTGATACCTTAAGGCCAGTATCGATATTGGCATGCTTAGTATATGTATTGACAGATTGTTTTGGACAAGAAACTTTGCTAACTTCATAAGCTTAAAAAAGGGTTTATAGGGGCATCGAGTGTTCTTAAATAAGACTACAAGTTAGATTATTATTTGAAATCCTTATGAACAACAACACTAAAATTATGTGGCATAAAACTAGCCTTTGTTTGACACTCGGGAAACGACACAGACACCCGAGTTACTTAAGAAAATGCATATACTATTCAAATATGTATGTGGAGATATCCAAATTCTCTTTCCAGTGTTATAACACTTTTGTATCAGTGCTGAGGCACTTTTGTATCAGTGATGAGGCACTTTTGTATTAGTGCTGAGGTACTTTAGTACTAGTGCAGAGGCACTTTCATAATTTAATGGCAAGCCCATATTATGACTTAAATGATGCATTGTTACAAATCTGTATGCTATGATCTATGCTTTATGCATTTCATTGTAACATGACTTAACTTGCTAAGTATTCGTAGTTAATGGATACATGTAGTATAATGGAGTTGTTTAGGTGGCACTGAGCTCGTAGCTCAGCGTTCATAATTGTTTCCATTTATAGGTTAGTAGGTGTCGTACCCAGGAACTTATCACCAGTTAGCCATATTCAAGATATCAATAGTTGCAATGTATGTCTTGGTCATTTAGTGGGCATGTATTTTCATAAACCCTTTTGTATTTGAGTCATAACTCTTGGATTACTGTATTTTGAGAATTTATTTGGGAGCTCCCATGTTTTGTAAACTTAATTGTTTTATTATATTACTTCTAAATGATGAATTACAATTCGTAAAATGAAATGTTTTAAGAAATATTTTGGGTTAGTCACTCCAGTGGTCTTGTGTAATGCCTAAAGACATCGAGTTTCATTTTATTCAAATTTGGGTGTTACATTTAGTGGTATCAGAGCGTTAGGATCAGTCGTTCCTAGGACCCACAAGTTAGAGTCAATAAAAGTCAGTGATGTACAAGCCTCTAGAGTGTCAGTATACTTGGTTATTTAGAAATAGAGATAATAATTCCTTTTTTGAACCTTGTAGAATATGGTCGATGACTCAGCTCCCAATCAAGATGGTTGTAATGTGAGTCTCATTTTACTCACTGAAGATGTTGGCGATGAGAACGGCCTGGGCATCTATGATAGGGACATTTCGAAGGGAGCAGCGATCAATAAGGCCAACTTCTTTAGAGACCTCAAAGCGGGAGCACACACTGCACCTACCCCACCCGTTCCAGCACCCTAGCACCTGAGGAGTTACCCGTAGAGAAACTCTGACACTATAAGACCATGAAATTCTATGGTATTGGTGAGGATGAACCTATAACATCCTATCAATGGCTCTATGGGACTCTTCAGACTATGAGACAATTGCACCTTACCCGAGAGGGTAAGCTTGAGTGCATCATTGCTCTGCTGAAGGGTGATGCCATCGACTGGTGGGAGACGGTCAAGTTAGCTTTGGAGTTTGTGTGGTTGACGTGGGAGTACTTCTTGGCAAAGTTCAGGCAGAAATACATTGGGGAGGCACATATTGATGACTCGAGAGACCAATTCACCTACCTTGTTCAGGATGACTGATCTGTGATGGAGTAGGAGCATGACTTCCTTCGCCTGAGTTGCTATGTATATGAGCTAGTGGAAACTGATTACCACCAATGTTGGAGGTTTAGAGAGGGGCTCCACATCGATAA